TATATATATATATTTCAAATATTTATAATTTTCTTCAATTTTTATACAATTTTACCTGTTTATAAATATTTACTGTAATTATGTTACCGGGGGTCTATTTGGAAACAGTCTCTCTACCCCAGGGTAGTGGTAAGGTCTGCATACACACTACTCTCCCCAGACCCCACTAAGTGGGATTATACTGGGTTGTTGTTATTGTTGTATAAAATATTAAAAATTAAATACTCATAGGATTACGTCCCGTATCTTGGGGCTTACGCCTCGCCTTATGCCCACGCCTTTTAAAACACTGCTTGGGGATCGTTTGGTACATGAGATAAGGATAATAATTTCGGAATAAAGTTTGGATTAACTTTATTCTATATTTGATTTGAGATGTTAGCTTATCTAGGACAACTTATACCCTAAAATGATGGGACGATTGGAAGATAAAATGAGAAAAGGAGTCGACTTTACTGTTCAAGGTTGAGTAGCAAACTAGCAATTATTGTTCAGCATAATGCTTGTACAAAGTTATTTTTGGTCCTTATTGAGTTACAGATCACACTGTTTGCTGTTTTCTTATCTACCTTAGCACTTCTTTAACAATTAACCAACCACTCCTCAACTACAATATTCAAAACTACTTCCATTCAAACGCTTTCCCACGCGCCGCCGTCCACGGTGGTCTTCTCAGCTCTCGTTCTGAGCCACTCCACAACATCTCCGAACACTTTCTCCACATTCTCCTCTGGTTCGCCGACCAGCTGATGCCACATTCCTGGATATATATTCAAAGTCTTGTCATTACTCATCGATCGTCGATATAGCTCCTCCGCACAGACTGGATCGCAAATGACGTCATCGCCGCCGTGTACTATCAGAAATGGTACCTTCACTTCTTCGAATCTCCCCTGTAACTCCCTGCATACACTCATTAACTCACGCGCCGTCGCTACGCGTGGCTTCATAAGTGGCCTCTTTGGACTGGCTATTGCCAGCTTCCTCTTTCACTCCTCCTTCGTGAATTACCAGAAAAGTCAAAAAATGAAAAATGCAACATAAGAGAAACGATCAAATGCTTTAATTACCAGAAAGAAAATAAAATCATATGCATGTTAGTATTAATTAAATAGTTTTACAATGACTCCTCCTTCATGAATTACCTAAAAAAAAAAGGCAACAAAAGAGAAATGCTCAAATGCTTGATTGAAATTACATTTCTCAAAAAAGAAAATAAAATTCATATATATGTTATTTTAAATAGTTTTAAATTAACATTTCCACTCACAGTATGTAATTACATATTTTAGAAATACACTTCCTTTGTCCTAATTTATGTTATCGTATTTTATTTTTAGTTTGTTTGAAAAATGATACTCTATATTTTTATATTTAAAAATCATTTAACTATAAGAGTGTGTTTGGTACGATGGAAAATATTTTCCAATTTCTCCATGTTTTGTTGGCTTAAATATTTTGGAAAACATTTTCCTCATTTTCNTAGTTTTAGTTACAAGTTTTCAAAAAAAAAAAAATTAGCTTCTTAGAATTCGTAATTAATCATATATTATCACATAAATTGAGATAGATAGACTATTTATCACAAATCGTGAATATCTAATTTACACAAACGGATTTCATTTCAAATTTAAACAAAAGCGATTTTATCTCATTACCTTGAACGCAACCATAGGCAACGAGCCGCGAGTGGGAACTACCGGCCAAGTCGGGATAAAAAAAGCGGCAATATCAAGGAGATACTCCAAAGGCCACGCCGGTTTAAATTTATTGCTAATCCCACACATTGCTCCATTCAAAACGACACCGTCGAACGGTCGGCGGGGAGCAGTATCACCCTGCCGGAGAGTGATTAGCAGTGCGATAGCGCCACCGAGAGACTCAGCGTAGAGGAACGACGGGAGAGACGGCGGCGCGTGAAGATCCCGAAACGAATCGAAGAAACTAATGCAGTCGTCAACAACGAGATTTAGGTCTGGTATATGAGCGACAAGACCGTCGGAGAATCCATGACCTTGGTGATCAACAGCGCAGACGATGAATCCGTGTTTGGCGATGTGAACGGCGGTGAGCTGAACGAACCAGTTAGACTCGCCGGTGAAGCCGTGGACGACGCAGACGACGCCGATGATTTTCGCCGGAGGGAGTGGGATCCACCACTGAGTAAAAAGCTTAAGGCCTCGTGAATTGGTGATGAATTCGGAGTTGTGAGTTACTGAGTGGTGAGAGTAGAATTCGGATTGGCTAAGTGAGCCGAATGGACTCTCCTCGTTTGCTTCTGCTACTGGATGCTTCATGTGTTTCACGGCTTGTTGCTAAAATGCACCGCGGGATAGGATATGTATACTGAAATAGGGGACATGTAAAGAAGAAGATAACAATGGGGATAGGAAAAAATAGTGTGTCCCGTCGTGTGTTGGACTTTTTAAAAATAATTTTGTCTCGTTTTTATGATTGTGCTGACTTGGAATGAAAAAATAAATTAATTAAAATACAAAGGGAGAGGATAGAAGAGAAATATAAATGAAAAATAGGAAAGATAAATCAACACTTATTTTGGACATAAGAATTGTAAAACTCTAAAAAATGGTGAAATTTTTTTTCAAGTCAAAATGGTATTTGAAATTTAGAGTTGTTTTTGGACATAAATTTCAGTTTGGGTTGTTTTTGAAGTTTTATGAATGATTTGAGTGAAAATTTTGAAAAACAGCTTTTTGGAGTTTTTCAAATTTTCGAAAATTTCCAAAATGGATCTTCAAGTGAAAATTGAAAATTTTATGAAAAAGCGCTGATTTCGAAAAAAAGTAAATTTTTTTTGGAAAAAAGAAAAAATTTTATGTCCAAACGAGCTCTTAGAGTGTGTTTGGTACGAAGATTTTTTTTTTCCATTGTTTGGTTGGTGAATGAAAACATTTTTCGAAATATTTTCAATCGAACAAAACACACCCTAATTGAGTGAAAAATTCCTATAATTTGAATTGAATAAAATTAGCCTATTAGGATTTTTTAGACGCCAACGGTCCTTTCTCTCTCTAACTAATTTTTCTCTGACTTTCTCTCTATGCTCTCAGACGACCTCACTGGACCATTAGAGGTCCCTCAATTACCTCCACCAGCCCCGCCCGATCCACCACCACAAAATACCACTCAAAATACGACACCTCACCATCAGAATCCATATATCACCAACTCAACACCCCAAACCTTTCCATCAATTATGGTCGGCAAAATTACCCCCACCTCATAACCAACATCCTAGACATGAAGATGCAGTCCATCTGGATGGCACAAAAGTTAACTCAACACCAAATCACGAACTCCCAATGCCCAAAAGAACAACTCTCTTCCACCACAATTGAAACTTTTCAGTAACTTTGACCCCCTCATCATCACAACCGAAACATCAATACTACTCAAAATTCCCAGTCCAATGGTCAACAAAATGCAAATCCCCCTCTAGCTCAAATACTAATTCCAAAGTTCAAACCAAGCCACCATACCCAGTGTCTAAGCCATCCTTCTCAGCTACGGTGTCAGCTGCTCTCGCCAATAGCTCAAGTACCAAGCAACCGGTGGAAATTACGCACGGTACTCATATAGGCAAACTAGCAGTATAATTCAGTGCTCATGACTATTTTGTTACATTAGCTGAAGATTGCAAATTTATAATCATTGGGAAGTTCACCAGAGGTAAACCTAGTATGGAAGAAGTAAGGAGATTGTTCATCAGTCATATCCCTCTCAAAGGTTCTGTTAAAATAGCCTACTATGATACAAATCATGTTTATATTGACTTTACCAATGAAGCAGACTTCTACCACATATACTCTAAACCAGTCATCACTCTTGGTCCATATATAATGAAGGTTATTAGATGGACCCCTGATTTTTCCCCTGAATGTGAAATTACAATTGCCCCTGTATGGATTTTGATTCATCAGCTCCCCTGGCATTTTTTTTTGGTGGGACACCTTGTCCAGAATGGTTAGCTCAATTGGTACTGCCATGTCCCCTGATATGGCCACTTACTCTAAGTCTAGAGGTAACGTGGCTAAGCTTAAAGTTGAAATTGAACTCTTGAAGCCTAGACAGGATCAAATATGGCTGGGATTTTAAGAGGTTAGATAGTAATGAGGAAGATGGATACTGGTTAGATATCGAATACGAGGGTGCCCCATCATACAACCAATATTTTTGTATGCAAGGTTACGATCTACTCTCCTGCAGAAACAAGAAAAGAGATGAAGAAGTTCAGGCTCAAGCCTCAGCCAACACTGAGGAGATTGATGATCAATGGAGAGTTCAAAGAGGAAACAAGAAATTACATCATCACACAATCGGGAATGCTAACTTGAATATGCTACCACAACAACCTCATTAGGAAGTCATTCTCACAGGGAAAAATTCACAATCAGAGAGGGAAAATCAACCAACTATACAGCTAACAAATGATGGAACGCAAGACAAACAGAAACAAGTTTTGGACAAGAACAATCCAGTTGAACATATAGCCCAATTGCACTAGGCATCGAAACACAAGAATGGACCAAAGAAAAGAGTGCAATGGCAAGTTAATCAGAGCAAACAACAGACTAATACTCATCAGCATCATAGCACAAAACAACCTACTCCACTAAAAATTGAGTCAAGCCAAGTTAATCCAAATTCAAAGCCTAATAAACCTCAAAATACAACACCTCAGACCAGCCCTAATGTGCAGTCTTCCATTAAGGAAGGTTCTGAGATGCTCCTTGATAGTACTACCAAACAAAACACCAATCTGATATCGCCTCTACTTTTGTTGTTCCAAAACAACAAAATATATCCACCTCAGTTCCTAAAATCCAAAAGACAACACAAATTAGCCCTCCACTACTAGAAAACCAGATAGAAAATGCACACACAAACCGCACTTCTCGAGAGCCTCTAGACCCTCATCCTCCTGATAATCCAACCTCCAAATCCCCTCCACCAGCTAACAATCCTATTAACCACACTGTTCCCTCAGAGAGTAGTGATGAATTAGAGCTGGATGTTGTAAATGATGTAGATTCCGAATTTGAAGGGGAAGATTCAAAAACTGCTGAAAATGATCAAGTTGTTAGTGATTCTGAGAATGACTTTGAAAGCGTTGAAGATCAGTCTGAAAGTGAGGAAAGTCTTGATGCTCAATCAGCTACCAGCGATGATCATGCTAACAGATTACTAAAAGCTTTCTCACATCAATCATCACCACCAGATGAAATTGGTCAATCCTTTGGAGATGTAACTGACAGACACCACCTCTCACCTAGGGAGCATGAGGTAACTAGAGGTGGACTCTCATTAACCAGAAGTAGACTCACATTTAGGGAGGGCAGATGTAATAGAAGAGCAAAGGCATTCCTCCTGTGAAATTTTCACAGGACAATAATGATCAGTCTACATCTTTTTAATGATTAAGTATCTTATTTGGAGTATTAGAGGCATTACTTTATAAGGTGCCTTTGACAGACTTAAGCAACTCAAAAGAACTCACAACCTTTTATTCATTGCTATCATAGAACCTTTCTGCGAAAGAAAAAGTTAGAAAAATTTAGAAGAGGACTTGGGTTTGATTTTGCATATGCTAATTGCAACAATAAAATCTGGTTCTTTGGTGATAGCTCTATCAACTGTATTACTATTGAAGACCTTCCTCAACTTATCAATTGCTCAATTGATAATAATGGGGAGACTTTAGTGTATGCTAAATGCGAAGCTCATCTCAGGGAGCCTCTATGGGATAGCATCAAATCTTTTTATAATGGAGTTAGCTCTTTATGGATGGTGATTGGGGATTTTAACGCTATTACTGATCCTCAGGAGAAAAGGGGGGAGGG